CTGAATCTCAAAGGTCCATACCCCAGTATAAGTAAGTTATGAAGTCTACAACAAGGTAAATACGACCTGCGTGAAAAAAATATTTCTTGAACTTTGTATCACAAGGGACTGTTAGAAACTGGAATACGCTGAGATTACGACTACTGTCAACTCTCCAGGATCAGGAAAGACTGAAGCTGACACACCACAGACTACATGCAACATAAAATTTTACTGATATATGTAGTCATACTTCTTTTATACACCTTATTATTTAAGCTAAAAATCCTTCTTCAGAGCAGCTTTTGCACTTCAGATCTTAATTATTTCCCCTGCCTTGGTTAAACGTCAAAAATCATTTAGGCTGATTTCTATATTGAAAATCCAGCCCAGATTAACCAATTGGAAATGGCTCATTGCACATAAATCCCTAGCAAAATATTTCACAGCTTCAAGGCTTTATACAAAATAAATTGAATGCAGGAACATTCTTCACCATCCCATTACGCCTGCCATCTGCACAGACCAAAAATAAAGCAGCAGCTTGAGCAAGGGTTTGATCAAATGCATCCGAGAAATGCACTGGCAAAGCTCTGCCAGGTCTTTAAAGCACTGCTGCCGACCACACTTTGCATGAGCCTCTTGATACAGACAGTCTGTATAGGGTCGGCTGTTGTGCAGGGTAATTTCATACTGAACAAGGTACCCTGGCTAGAGACTTTGTGTTAGGTAGGAGCTCTCTCCCTTTCCCCGTCATAGTGAAGTTGCTGCCAAACTGGCATGAAAAGGAAATCTAATTCAGACAATTTATTCCGTAAGTAGAAAGGAGGCACTTAGCCCCCTACAATTAACATGAGAAGATCCTCAGGCACCAAGTGGGACTGAGGAGGCACAGAAGAGGAGGCACAGAGAAGGCGATCATCATGTTGTAGGACAGGCAACTTCACAAGCGGCCGGCAGCTGGCACTTCAAAACAGCCAGGCTGGGGAAGGATATGCACAATGCGGGGATCGTGATCCCAGTTTCGGCTGCGTCCGGTCTCCCCAATGCTGGGAAATAAAGGATAACTCACGTCTGTGAGACTATTCCTCTGCCTCCCACATTGCTGCTTTTCAAACTGTTATTCAGAACTTTTCAAACTCATCATTAGCAATGTTACAGCAATGTGCAAAAATATGTATCACTATGGAGGGGTTCTTGCTATGTGCTTAATTATGATCAGCTGAGAAGCTGGTCGGATGCTTAAGCAGTGCCTCAGTTGCTCATATACTGATTAAACGCAGGGCCTCCGCTATCAACAAGCACTGTCACCGCTATTGAAGAGCATGACCACCACCGTGGTGCCTTCCCCGAGCTGTCCCGAGTGCACCAGTGAGCGACATGAGCGCCGCGTTCGGCAGGAGCGGGTGAATTCAAGGTGCCAGGAAAGTAAATGTCTCACCCAAAATTAGATCACAGCTCAGTAAGACAACCAGTAACAGAAATTAATGATTTTTGCTTTCTCTGCTCATTAGCGACCCTCAAGGCGGCCTGAGCCAGCCAAGCTGGTGATAAATTCTGCTACTTTGGGTTTCTTTTTGCTAGGAGCATGGGTTTCTGGTAATTTTAGCAATTACTGCTGATGAATAAGAGTCATCTTAAAACTCCAAGGCATGCATACACCTAGTCTCACAGTAGCAACAGTACAGTCATAACACTGTTGCCAAAGTATGCTTGACAAAAATACCAACTCATCAAATGTGGAACATCTTGCCACATAGAAATGCTGAAGATATTGGGAGGTTAAATCAGAGAAGTAACTTTCTCCACTATATGAAGCAATACATGAACAAGCTCCCAACGCTTAATGTACCCATAACAGTGCAGATTGATAGTGCCGCCTGATTCATCCTTTCAGTAATGTGTAGGTCCTCACCATTTTACAGCCCAACATAGAAGTATTGCAGTATTTTTCCCCCACCGTACTGCTTATTGAGCTTACACACAACAGACAAAACTGAGTTCACACAGTGCAATTTCTTCCTTCCCTCTGTGGTTCCCCACCTTTGTGCCAGCCGCTCACGTGCTACCAAGCCACAAAATGGCTGCCAGCACATTGCTCATGGAGAAGCAGTGAAGGTTGGACAAGCTGACTGCAGGCAAACACGGGGTGGAAGAAAAGCCCTGCCTTTGAACCTGAGCCTCCCTGCCAACATTTCCAATACAAAAATGATCCGAAAAGCAGGTGTTAGCCCTGAGTCTCTCCGTGGGAGCTGCTGCACCCCACTCACACAAAATGGCTGACGGGGGGAACCCAGTCAGGAAACCATGGACTGCAAGGTCTGGAGATGGGGCATCATGAGAGACCCGTGAGCTGGCTGCCTCAAGATAAACCTGATTTTTAGCACCAGCCTCGGTCTCTGTACAGTCTGCCACACAATCTAAGACCTCAGCTTGCCGCAGTCACCTCCACACGTGTTGGTTCATCCTGGTGGCAGCAGCAGTGCACCTGCAGGCCATGGTGATTTCTCCTCCAGCACCATAGCAGTCTCGGCAGCAAAACCTGCCACCACGTGCCATGCACCCACCCCTCTTCCCTCCCAAAAATGGCATTGGAAACACCCCAAGCAATGGCCATGGACACCCTGCCCTGTCCACCTGGCGCCATCCTACCTGCTGGTGTTCCCTGTTCAGCCACACGTGCCCAGAGTCCAGATGCTGTCCCCAAGGCCTGTGCCCACTGGCGGCTCCCTAAGTATTTAGGAACAATTAAGAAGCTTTTCCTTTCATTCACGTTTCCAGCAGCAGCCTGGGTCATGGGTGCTCCAGTCCCAGACAGGCAGCAGCACCTTGAGGCTCATCAGCAGCCACAAGCAGCACCTGGGGCCAGGGCCGCTGTCCCCAGCAGAACCGTTTGGGCAGGCACCTGCATTTACTCAGCTGAACTATTTCAGACGATATGGGGCCCAACAGGAACATGTGAGAAAGGGAAAGTGGTGGTTTCTTACTGTGCCATAGTGATAGTTTTAGAAATAGATCAAATGTCTTGGAAAAAATGCAGCAATGTTTCTTTGGATCTGACCTCAGAGGGCACACGTTCAAGGACAGGTCTTTTCTTCCGTGGTTCAGAAGTTTGGGCATTTTCCACCCCCTTCCAGAAACAAAGGCAACTGAGTGGCACTTTGCAAGGTCTAATAACCTTGTTTGACTTCCACCCAGGCGCCATTCAGCAAAGCTATACCTAGTGATGGAAATAGTGGAGAACAGCAGTGTTTTAGTGTTTTTTTTAATCCCAGAAATCGAGATTGTGGAAGTCAAGTCTGACACTTACATCCTTGCTAGGGACCAGGTTACACACAGCAAGGGCAGGAGAGCTTCAAAGCACCGTGTCATCTTATTTGACTGTAGTGGATGGCTGTGTCTAATTTTGACTTAGATATTTCCACACAGAGGCAGGAATAAGAGGAAAGTATTTGGAAGGCAATGGCAACCTAGAAGAACACGCTGTTCTTCAGGTGCCCTTCGTGATGGCAACAAGCATCATGTGGCAGTCCTCTACAAGAAGCTTTATTTGTGGTATATAAGTCACAGAATGCTTAAGGTTGGGAGGGACCTCTAGAGATCATCTAGTCCAACCCCCCAGCTCCAGCAGGGACACCTAGAGTCCGTGGCACAGGGTGGCATCCAGGCAGGTTTTGAAGCTCTCCAGAGAAGGAGACTCCACAACCTCTCTGGGGAGCCTGTTCCAGGGCTCAATCCCATATGCAGCTTTAGGTTGAAGCGATTAGATGAACCATCTGTGGGAGTCTGACAATGTAATTTAAAAATGTAAAAATATTCCATGCAAATGGTTCAAAAAGTTTATTGAATATTTAATTTACAAAAATCATATCCCCTATGAGGTGTCTACGCAAAATTGGATAAAATAAACTGCATATAAAACCCAACCCTAGTAATGCAAATATAACACAGAAATGAGACCATGGGAAAGAAAAAAATAATTATATAATTAAGACATACATTTGACATTCATTAAGGATTGTCCCAACCACCCAAGAATTGATTTCAACATGATGCCTTCTTCCTAGACACATTATACATTTCACCATTTTATACAAGTTCTTCTATATTCCACTGCTCCAAACTGACAGCTGATAAAAGCTTTTGCATTCTTTCTTAGCTACTATGCCAATTCTGTCATTCCTGTTTTGATCAGAAGGTGGAAACAGACAGTACATACATTTAACGCGCACTGTTAGATGCAACTTACTATCTTTGGTAGGGACCCCAAATCTGCAGTGAAGTCAGCTTTTTAGAATTCCAAGAATTTCCGTTTTAATTTTGGCAAAGAACAGAACTAATTCAATTGTTTAGCAGAATGTTACTGACAGTTTCTGCTGAACGTACAAAAAAAAAAAAAGTACAGTGTCTCTGTGTAGCTTAGAAACAGGAGGTTATCTATAATGGTTTCAAATTATTTCCATAATGTTCCTTGACTTAAATATGGTTATATAAAATGTTATTACTGCACAGCAGGCCTGCCTGTTTCATTGTATGAATAAAGGATGTATGGTACAGAGAATGCAACTGAAATTCCATGCTGCCTTTTTTTCCCTCGTTTTAAAGCACTGACACTATTCCTGGAGGTAACTGCACAGATTGGGTGTCAGTTTCCTTTTGAACAAGCAGAAACCTCTCTGGGTGACTCAACACTTGCATACAACACTTGTCAACTTTTTAAGGTTTCCCTGGGATAGAGGAGAGTAAAACAAACAAACAAACAGCGAGGAGATTAGATTAGATTAAAGACAATCAGCGCTACAGTGTTTGCAGCCCTCCCTGGGATAACATGAAGAGGAGGATGAAAACCAGGAAAATCCATGCAAAAGACAAGAAATCTCACTTTGAAAGAGAAGGAAAAAGTAACCAGACTGTTTCCTTCGTAACATTATTATACTAAATATTGGCCAGTATTTGATTAATTGCCATTAGCTGCAACTTCCAAGCATTCTCTTCACCTTTTCACACACTATCTGGAAAAGCAAAATTATGCCCCTCTCCAGTCCTCCCCACTCCCTCTTGGTGAAAATGCAATTTACTTGCATAGCCATGATTTTCTTAGCTGATAACATTTAGTGGAAGACTAACTAGACTTAAACACTAGGTAAATCTGCTCACCTATGAGTAAAACATGCAATATTTAGACAGACAGCTAACTGCCCTTGAAAAGGGTTTTTACGACAATTACTAATTTGGCAGAGAAGAAATGTTTTCAAAATGCTTGAAAATCATTAAGAGCCTCAGTGAATAACATAATCGTTACAATATATTAGCAACTTCTGTGGCATAAACATTTTAAAAAGCATCAGCAAGGTATTAAATATAAAAGCAATATGTATATACCCCTCCATCCTCAGAAAAGCATCATGATTTGTAGTGTAGTAGGTCAGATTTATTGACTGGGGAATTAAGGCATATCCAGTAGACAATCATCTCTATTGCCTCAGCTCCACGTAATTGGCTGGGAACAACCCGTACCGGCCTTTGCAGACCCCCCTCCACCAGCCGTCATCGATCATCTCTATGTTTGTGATGATGTCATCTGGATCAAAGGAAATCTCGTCATCGCCGGCTGCAGAAAGAGCGGAAGAGGCGTCAGCTCCGAATTCGCACAGCACCAAGCTCACCTGTCAGGTGACCCCTGCTAAAAATTACCCATCCTCAGGGTGACGAGGTGGTCGGTTTTTATCTCCTGTCTGTCGGCTGCATCTCTAACCTGCAACAGCAGTTGCTGCCTAACATGCAGAGATGTTAGACAGACTTTCTGTGATTCTCCTCCTCCCATTTACCTCCCTTTGATTCTTCTCAGAATTAACCAGTCAAAAAATTGACTGACTGTGTATGCTAAGGGTTTACAACAGGGTTAACACTTGGCTAGCAGAGGTTTTTGAAACCTCCACCATCTCTAGATGTTAATCTAGAAACAGTGGATAGTGGTTTTCAAAAGTGCTTCAATGGTATTGATTGCTAATGGCTAACCAAGCACTTGCTAAGCACCACTAATTCTTTCTATCTTCATTTGATGTATACTACAAGAAGCTACAAGATGAAAGGAAACAGAAAACCCAGACTATTACCTTTACAGAAAAAAATAAGCTTTCAAAATACAAGTTTAAGAACAAGAGCTTTGCTTACCAGCTTGATAATCATAAAGGGCTATGGCTGTAATTCCAAGTTCATTTTCATATTCATCATAAGCATTTTCTTCTAAAGAGAGTTGAACAAGAAACAAATTAAAAAGGTAATGCATGCTACCTATGCAGCCAGAGTTTCTATACTGTAGTACTCCTGCTTTAATTCTATAGCTAACCCACAAATGAAGCAGGGAATCACTATGCAAATTTTTAGCAGTGCTGACTTACCTTCTGTTAGAGATTTTTTTTTAATCACACATGTAAAAAAATCCTGAAAAGAAAGCTTCATAAGTAGGTATTAATATAGCAGAAAACAATTAGTCTTATTCCAGGAAAGTTTTTGTAAAATGTGATAGAACAGTAACTGACCCCAAGGTCAGGGTGTAGAAGACTAATACAATTTGTTAAGTGTGCATGTGTGTGTAAGGAAAAAATGATGGGTTTAGAATTTCCAGGTTTTTGTACCAGAACAGATTCACTCTTCACACCTCACTTAGTAACCAGAAGAGGTGAGAAAAAGAAATTTAGGAGAACTGTATTCTTCCAATGACATTATTAGTTTCAGAGCTTCTTACTGCAGTCACTCATGAAGAAGCACTAAACATGTCAAATTAACTTCAAAACCAAAGAACTGTTGTTACAACTTTTTAGCTGGTAGGTTAGCATTGGCTTGACACTCATTTAAAGTCTATCCCTTTGTGTTTTTAGCTGTATTGCACAGGGTAGGAATGCTTGTTCCTGTATTTCTGTATGAATTAACACACTAAAGACCACCATAATTATTCCAGCATCGTCCCACAGAAGTTAAATAATTTCAACCTTCCTCTAGCAATGTCTTTGCTTCCCAGTTAACATTTGCTGGCATGGAATCTAAAAATTCTAATCAGACCAAGACCTTAGAAAGCCAGGTCAGAGAGATACCAGCACAAGTATGCTTTAAGTCACTGCCCAAGGAAGCAAAGCTTTATTATACTGAAGGGTTTCGCAAGGAAAAAGAAACCCCCTACCTGGCTGATACTGGTCTCCTGCCCCTGCCACTTCATAGACGGTCTCGGGCTCGTACTCCGGCTCTCGCTGGCTCACTGCTTCTTGGTAGTCCGACTCTGCAGCTTTGCAGCCAGGTTCTGGCTCGCGCGCAGCGGAATGCACCACGCTAGAATTCTTGTGGGCAGACTCTGCTTCATAGGAAGCTGTGTCCTGCAAAGATACAGATGAAGTCTGTCAGGATTTTATTAAGAAGTTCCTATAGTTAGGATCAAAAATTAGTTGCTCTAAATGTTTCTAACAAACCTCATAGACGGGGCTTGAGGGTGCCTTCTGTTCAGCTGGCAGTGTGGTCGGAGATGGTGGTGGAGTTTCTTTTTTGGCTTTAGCTTGTTCCTTAGTGAAAGACAGAGAAAAGCCTCATTTAGCCTAACTCTGACACAAAGGAAAACAGGACTGGACTCACTGAGTCGTTATGCCTGCCTGAAGGTTCGGACTGGCTGTAACAGTCCGAACAGTGATACAGCAAAGCAGAGGAAAACGAAGAAACACAAACCACACAGTACATATGGATACATCTGTTTTAAAGCAGAGTACCCAGTGTTCTTTGGCACATTCCCACAGGAGCTGCAGCGTTTCTGTATTGAATATATTCTGTTCGTTAGCTGATTTGGCCTCATGCACGCATTTAGTGCAAGTTTAGAGAACCTAATGCTTCCATGATCCAGTTACAGCACTGATGCATCACCTTGGATGAGAAACAATCCTGTAAGCTTTTGTAGGTCTGCAGAGCATCTGACAAGGTAGAAACTAGGAGAAAATTAAATCTTCTATATACTGACAGTGAGGGCTTCAAGAGTCTAAAAGAACTGCAAATGGTAGAAATAAGAGCAGCGGTATTCTGATACAAAGAGCATGAATCTGTTTAGCCTTCTGGCATTCAAGAATTTCACACTGTGCCATTCCATCCCTGAATCAGAGGGCAAACTCACTACCTACCATGGCATAACTTCATTAGGAGGTTGGAGACTGTAGTCCAAGAAACTTGACATTCCTTGCATGACTGCAAATTGCAATAGTTTGCAATTTGGTACTGTCAGCCAGTTATTTCATTTTGCCTTTCTCACAGAAGGAAAAAACATCTGTGGATCCATAGCCAAACCTTCTTGCTTATTATTAAAAAAAAAAAAGGGGGGGGAATGGTGAGGAGTGGCAGACTGTGCACTGCAGTTGTTCAAGTGCATCAAGCCTCAGCTCCTCCAAGGATCCTCAGGATAAATTACAGTCCAGAGATGAAGCAATAGGAATCTATCACAAAGAATTCTTCCTTTCCATTATTTGCCACAGCTCAGAATCAAATACGTCAAGCAATGAAAGGAAAGGGTGTCTTGAGAACGCACCCGTCTTTGAAGACCAATTCAAAGCTTGATATTGAGCTTTCTGGAAAAATCCGTCCTTGTGAGACCAGCCCTTTCCCACTTTTAGCTGTAATGCTACGTACGGAAAAGCGCTGGCAAAGCGTTTATTAGAACTTAAATTTAGATCTGGGGACAAATTAATTGGCATCAATCTCTTAACAGTTTCAAACACTGAAAGAGTTTTAACTTTCTTTGTCCTGTGAAATGGTCTCTGTAATCCACCTTGCATTTAAAACCGCCACAGTAAGATTGCCATAAAACATTCAAAAGGCATGGTGGTCCTCAGGCAACCTCAGAGCTGGGTTTCCTCCACTTTAAAAGGCTCCATGAGAAACTGCATCTTGAATTGTTCTCTAAGGTAGCCGAGGCCATCTGAAAATCCTGAGGCACTGGCTGACCCAAAACAGCAGTTAAAAGAGCTGCTCCCTGGGCCCCATTTGACTATGTGACGTATGTGAAAGGCAAAAAAGAAAAAGGATTACCAGTAAACCAGTAAAATAAAGGATTCTTGAAGGAATGCAGTCCATATGTACATTCCCACTGTGGGAGTACATATGCCCACGTACTTTCTTTAAGTGAGAGAACTTTCTGTTCGTGCAAAGAAGTTTTCTTAAAGAAATAAAGTCCTCTTAAGACCAAAGTTCCCCCACCTCAGTGGATTGTGCAGTTGCATCCCTTGTCCTTTCATGACCAATTTGTGAGCAACTGGCACATCCAGAACCACTTAGTTTCCCCTTAACCTTGTCCTCCCTCTCTCAGTGTCTGCAGAATCATACAATTAACCTTGGAGATGTTCAGTCTGGAAAAAACATTAATCATCTGGTTATGGTTAAATTTAAATAAATACCAGCTTTGGGGAAGAAAAAAAAAAAAAAAAAACCACCAATCAACAAAACACCATAAACCTTCAAACGTGTCCAGGCAACAGAATTTTGATGGAAGCAAAAGAAGAATCAAGCAGAAGGGCTTGAATTTATCCCACACTTACAGCAAAAATAACAGTAAAGGAAGTAGAGAGAGGAACGAAAAAAATACAACAGTTCAATGACTCACAAAAGTCTGTGTTACTACATTTCCAATCCTTTTGGAGAACTGTTTCCTCAGCAGAAGGAAACCTCAAGGGAAAAGCTGAAAGGACTAACAAATCCAAACTCACCACCCTGTACAGATCTTATTTATGAGCATAGGACCATCCCAAATGAATGGCAAGGGATTTAAGGGAGAAGCTGAATTCTTCCCTCACTCAGCTGAGATGACGAAATGATCAATGGAAGAAGGAGCAATGGGAATCCAAGCAGAAACCTATACTAATTTGTCAACATCTTCCTTACTGATTATAAAAATGACTCCAGCTGGAGAAGAGTGAGTATTCTAATGCAGAGCCATTCAGCATCATAGCAAAACCTATACTATTTCAAGACTGGGATGAGTTAGGCAGACAGAGCTCAGACAGAGAGAACTGAAGAAGTCACTGAGAGACAAAGGCAGCCTGATATGAAAGAGCTTAGGCTCCATAGGGATGTTGAGAGCCAGCAGCATGTTGTCCTGCCTTACTCTAACCAAAACTGGGCAGCAAATGCACACACCTGTCCCTTTGACCAACAACAGGACTGCATCCAAGACCAAGCCTGGACAGAAACCTACTCCCAAGAAAAAATATGCTCCCACCAATACTCCTGTCAGTTGTGCAACAAGAGAAAAACCCATGCATGAGCACTAGGGTAGATTTCTCACTTCTGACATGCATGAATGCCAGAGAGTCCTGTTCTTTCCATACCTACCACTTATGGCAAGTGTTGTCTGAAGGGAACAAGGAATCTCTCCTAACCATATTATTCTGTCAACACCACATAACCAAAGCAGGAAAGCTGAGTCCTCCAAACAGCCTCAGTCTCCACAGCGCTGGAACAAAGCTGCTGAGCCTCATGAAACCAAAGGGTGGCACAATGAAACTGTGTAGTATCTTCCAAACCTTAAAGGAAAACACCAATATCACTACTTGTAAGGTCTGAGGGAACACAGAAGGCATCCCCCTGCAGACATGGCTGCCACCACATGATGGAGTCTGAGAATCACAGAATGCTTAAGGTTGGAAGGGACCTCTAGAGATCATCTAGTCCAACCCCCCTGCACACGCAGGGTCACCTAGAGCACGTGGCACAGGACTGCGTCCAAGTGGGTTTTGAAGATCTCCAGAGAAGGAGACTCCACAACCTCTCTGGGCAGCCTGTTCCAGTGCTCTGTCACCCTCACTGTTAAGAAGCTTTTCCTTTTAGTGTTTCAGTTTGTGGCCATTACCTCTAGTTCTGTCGGTGGCCACCAGTGAAAAGAGGCCAGCCTCATCCTCCTCACTGCCTCCCTTGAGGTACTTATAGACACTGATCAGGTCCCCTCTCAGCCTTCTCTTCTCCAGGCTGAACAGGCCCAGCTCCCTCAGCCTCTCCTCATAAGGGCAGATGTTCCAGGCCCCTGATCATCCTTGTGGCCCTGCGCTGGACTCTCTCCAGCAGCTCCACATCCCTCTTGTACTGTGGAGCCCAGAACTGGACACAATACTCAGGGCCTCATTGTACCCTGAGAAATGGCAATCTCACTGCAGGAAGTACTGAGCAAGGAATGTATATAAAGATCAGTAAAGATCATGTAGTAACATGAAGTTGCCATATGCTCTAAGAGACACACATCTTCATGAGGTAGTTGCCAAGAGGTCAAGAACTGAGTTAAGTATAAAATATTTTAAGATCAGCAGTAAGAGATGTCTATCATCTGGGAGTCAAAAACTACTGCATGATAATACGGTAGATTTCTGACCTCAGAACACCTGCTTTAAGGCCCAAGTGTTCAAGAATGAACTGTACTGTTTACAGACACAGCTTTCAGAAATTCTCTCAAACACAAGCAAATCAAAGTAAGGAAACAAGTGTCCTAAATGTGGGTGTTCTTTTGCACCTTGAAGTTAAACTAAAAAGGTTTGGACAAGCTAAGTAGAAAGACCTGGAGCCACCAGCCATCATGTCTTAGAATAAAAGCAGTGATGACGAAATGTAGTTACTGTCATGAGAAAGCATGCACCTGAAAGACAGAGCAGGATCCAGTTCCTCTTAGGGACTCATAATTTCTGTCCAATTCCCTCAACAGGAACAAGAAGCAGGGCTTTCCAAAGTGATCTCATGGCTGCAGAATGGCCTTGTTAACAAAGCAACACTAGTATGTCCATAAAGCTGCATTAAGGTTCTTTGTCATGTGAAGAACTGTGAAAGTACCCACTGAAATAAATCCTCCTATTATATGGATAATAGTTTACTATGGATAGTAAGTCTTAAGTCAGAATGCTATCCAGACTTAACATTTGGATTCAGGAAGAGAAATGCCAGGAAAAGAGAGATCTCCCCTTGCAACAGTGGAGCTGCTCTTTCAAAAGCACAACTGCCCCCAAAGCTGAGGGACTATATCACTCCCAAAGTTGCAGTGCTGGTGGCAAGGGCAAGGGCTGGGAAGGGTGAGCAGTGAAGAATCACACTGTCAGGGACACAGCCTGGTGCTAGACCTAGATACTGGTGATGCATAAGCTTAAAGACACTGAAACATGCTGGAAAAGATGGACAATAGTGCAAGAGTGAAGAGAGCTGCTGTTGGCTAGAGGAGCTGGGGGCTTCCAGCTGAGTGGCTGCTGCAGAAGGTGGTGGTGGATGATACATGGGGCCTTTGGTGGACCATGGGCCTCTCCCCTTATGAACTCCTCCATGCCTAAGAGAATTTCGTATTACCAAAAGAAGGAAGTACAACAAGGCTAAAGTAGGACAAGGTCAGACAGCCTAGATTAGTGTTCAGGACTAGCATACTTATTTTAGAACAGGATAAATACAAATATCATATACTATTAGGTGTTACGTCCATCACCACAATCTGCTGTCCAATATACATATGCTGCGTGTGGTGACTTTGCAAGCAGATAAAGCACAGGTACCAACACACACACACACACACACACACCCCTTTAGGCCCAGCTGGAAATAAGGAAAGTATCCCTTAAGAAGATATTCTCTTCTCCCAACATTACACTGAAACACACCAGACAGACGGCACAAGTGGGATTTTAATTTTACTGACCTCTAGTTTCCTTCGAGCCTCCTCCTGCTCTTGTTTCTCCCTAGCCATTCTCTGTGCTCTTTCAGCTTCTGCCTTCCTTCGGTCTTCCTGCTCTTTTTCCTTGGCTAGGTTTTCAAAGTTAGCTCGGATGCTGCTTGTTTTATTAGCAACTGTAACATTAAAAAAGTCAGGTGATTTTTGTTTAAGGTTGCGCATAATGATAGCCTGGAATTAGTTTATGGTATAAATTCCCATTAGGACGGAACACATTTCTGTAATTTCTGCTGTCTGAGCTAACAGCATATTCAGGAAATTCTTTCTATCCCTCTTTCTGGGTCACCCCTACTGTTCTGACCCCAAACTTCTTGCAAGCCACATTCCTCTCTGACTTAAAATCTGCTGTAGCATTCCTCACTCCTCCTTTCTTTTTGTCATGGTTTAGGTTCTACCATTTCATTCCTTCACTCAATCTATTCCTCACTCTTTCTTGCTTTTTTCTCCTTGATGCATGCTCCTCATGGTACGGGAACAAAACCAAACAAGCAAAAAACCTCTAAGGGGAGCAGGGAAAGAAGAGCAGAGGTTGCTATAGAGACCTGCAAATACAGAGGTTCCCTTTAGATGATCCTTAGTACTCACTGCTACATCAGCAGTTGGACCCTGGACTTCTCTGGGACTCCAGAGAAATGATTTTGGGAAATGGCTTACCAGCTTCTATTGGCTTGGTCTTCTGGTAAGTTGATGTTGGTTTCTCAATATCCTCAAAAGTTGCTGCATTCTATCAGAGAAAAAAAAGAAAAAAGAAAACAAAAGTAAAAAACAATCTCTTTCACCACAAAAATCATAAAAAAAAAATCCAGAAAATCCAGACAGGATGAATCTGTGACTTATTGTGATACTACCCCATTATTTTTTTTTCCACAACACCAGAAGTAAAAAAAAAAAATCAGAAAGAATCAAAACTTAAGAAGTAATTAGTTTGACAAGTCAAACTCTTTAACCTTCACGCACACATTAAACTCCTATTACTTAAAAAAGTGAAGTTTACGAACAGATGATTGATAAGAACTACAGTGAGGCAACTCCTAAACATTTACTGTGTAGCTGCTTATTTCGAGTCCACGTGGTGCAGGTTTTTACCAAGGTGAGAACATCCAATCCAGCTCTCTTAAACAAACAGATTGTCTGAGCAGAGGAAGTATTTTGAGGGCAGTATTCAGTTAGGAGCTTCAGGGTCTCTGAATCCTGAAGCCATCATAAAAAGGACTGCTACAGATTTTCAACCTCTTTCCATTTCTCACTTTTAAATGACTTACATAGAGCTGAGAGGGATAATTCAGTAACCAGTTTCCATGTGGACCTTCTCATCTTTCAGTTTTTTTTTTAATTAATGAATGAAGAAATAGAAAGAAGGCATCCTGTCTTTTACTGTTGTAAATTTGTTTTACTACAAAAATTCTCATAAGGGGAAGGTTACTTCTAATTGAAGTGGGCAAAGCTGAAAGATAATGGGCACCTATTTTAAGCAGCCCACTCGGACCATATCCTCAATGTACACGATAAGGCACTAGCTGGTTGTTAGAATACATGACTGCCAACATGGAAGTTTCTTATTCTTTTGTGTAATTTTTGCTGTCCTTTCGGTCCGATGCTTCAGCTTGCCATACCATGCATACAAGTGTGTATAAATTGGTATCATACAGCCTTGCTTTTGTAAAAAGATTTAGAGAAACATAGAAAAACTTCACTGTTAGACTGGAGAATATCCAGTAATAGAGATATAAACACTATAAATGTAGCCACAGTATTTTGTATCCCTAGTGACTATTGAAGTCGTGGCTCTTCTAAGCTGCTTACCTTATCCATCCGATCTTTCTGCACACCATACTTCCCACCAAATCCTTTGGAGTAATCTAAAAGCAGGACAAATTGTCAGAATAGGGAATTTGTTGTCCATCTTTCTGCCAAATGCAAATAGCCATTTCAAATGCAAATAGCCATTTCAGCTGCATGCAAAGACACAGCGACAGCCGCCAAAGAAAATGCAACTTGGTTTTGGATGCAGAAAGGATACATAACTGCAAGAGCCTTCAGGGACACCAGCAGACGACAGGGATCGTAGGCCACATGCATTCTTTGAGTAAACATTAAGCTGAGGACTGACGAGGTTTCAAGCAAAGAGTAAGGGATGAGCCCTTCTAATGCATCACTTCTGTAACACAGCCTTTCACGACACCAAATCTTAGCTTTCTGTAACAGTTATGTAACCTAAGCCACTTTGCTTTGCTCCAAGCAGTGATATCCATTCTTTGGTGACCACAGAGGTGTTTTTTTCTCAACTTCTACAAATGGCAGGAAATGTAACAGATTTCCTGTTCCAGGGGTTCTAAGCATGCTACTCAACTGATGAACATTTGAGTTATTAGCAACTCCTGCTTGGAAAAAATGAAAGGGCCAATTCCCCAAGACAGCACGATCTTGCAACAACTCACCACCACAGAAATGGATGGCCCTGCTGTTCGATACCATCTCTGCTGCACACTCTCACTCTCACCTAATACTGGCTCTAGCACTTGTTATGCTCCAGGACCAGTTTAATTAACTAGTGACAAAAAGTTAATATAATAATATCAGCTTTCTGCTGTTTCTAGTGAGCTGGAAATCTCAAGAGAAATGTCTGGCAAGCACCAGAGCCAGGGCAATGGAGAAAGCAGGAGCGTGTGGCTGGACAAACACCTCTTTCTGGTGGCAGTAAGCTGTTGAGCTGTCTGTAGAAACACAAGCTTAGACTTTGCAAATGGAAAGACTTTCATATATATCCCTGGAAAACAGTTTCAATTACTCCTTTTTCTCTCAGTCCCCAAATCACTCGGGTCAACTACACAGCTATCCTGGTATTTGCACTTGGGTTTTGCTAAGGCACATCTGACACTCTGGAAGGTTGAATTTGTTTCACTATTGCACAAAAAATATTGATTGTAAGACTGAACAACCTCATTTTCTTCAGCTTTGTATGTATTTTCAGCCAGAATAAATATATACTACACTTACATTTTCCTGATCCAGACTTCTCACTTTAAGATAACGGAAAACCAGGAATTCATGGTTTGTACCCCAACTATTTCACAATGAATAAAGAGAGCATTATAACAGTATTTGCTCACCCAAGAACCACAAACATTCCCTATTTCTTGTTTTAAAGACTACAATTACTTTAAAATGATCCTGCCATAATCCACTGCTTGGTAGTGGTTACACATATGGTCCTTATCGGAATATTTTTTCCACCAGTTTATCCAGGCAAAGTTTCACATTAAGATTTCAAAACTGGCAAACACAACGCCATTAACATGATACTAGAAATTATGTTCTCACGATCACACTGTACGTATAGCTATTAACTACATGCATAATGTTGTAGAGCTGTTAACTAAACATTGGATATCTGTTTCCTGAATACAGGTTTCCTTTATGTAACTCATTTTAAAAGTAAAAGGGAAGAACACTGCTAGATAATACAGGAATGGAAGCGCAAGGAAGTGTCTGCACATTACTAGCATCGATCTACTTAGACAACTATTTAAGACTGTGCGAGAAGTGGCTGCACTGATAAGAAAGAAACAAGTGAAAACGGTGCCTTGTTGAGATTCATGCTTGGCTAGTTTCTCCTTGTATTCAAACCCCACAGCAGATGGGTCCTGCCTTTCTCTCTGTACACCAAATTTCCCTCCGAAACCACTCTTATAGTCTGAAAAAGCCACATGTAACAAAATAAAATGAAGGGAGGAAAATAAAGAAGTTTAGTCACAGACACTCAAAGTAATTTTTGCAACATTTCTGAATTACCAATAATTTTGGAGGGTGAAAGAAATTTAAGTACACTTTTGAAAGTTTAAATTCAGAAGAAGTTTCCCATTAGGATTAAGAAGTGGTCAACATGAGACCATCATGAGAACATCAGACACAGGAAAACCATTCTAAAGTCTCAGAAAAACAGTACTTCTCAGCATCTTTCACACATGCAACATAGTACACTTGTTTTTTATCAACACTATGAACACAAACATATACATAAAATATCTACCAAAACAAAACAAGAAACAAGAGGATTCACACTTACAAATGCAATGAGCTTCCTTCATCAACATATTTAACATTGGACATGTACAGTTCAGTCTGAATTCTTAAGAGGAGTTTAGATAAGGTCCATATATAGTACCCTTCAGATATTTCTATACAGCATAGTTTAAAAAAAGGAATATTCCTGCTGCTATTCTGCTGCAGAAAAAAATCTCTTAGCTAAGAGTTATGACCATTCACTACTGCTACTTTAGAACAGCCTTTTTAACCTACAGTATAAAATGAGGGCAGCAAAAAGAGGACTTGAGGCAATCTCTCACCATAAAACCTACTGGAATATCCAACAGAAAAATATTCTGGTAGCCAATTTCAATTGTTTTAGTTTAATTAAAGGAAAATTATTTAATGTAATTCCTTTAAGTTAAAAGTGGGGATAGGTGGGGGCAGGGAAGAAATGGTTGCTTTGGACCTTATTTTCTGCTTGTCACTCTTTCATGGGAATAATCATCATGCAGGTGGTAAGAAAAGACAGAATTAAACATCAAATATTAGATTTCCCCTGCATGGGAGAAACCCTGTAGATTGAAATCAATAGAAGAGGGAAGATTATTTGTTAATATCCCCGTTGAATGTTTTACCAAAATTTTGGCAATTTGTGATTTGTACAGATCATCTGAAAAAGGAAAAAAATAATCCAGGCTATCTGCAGACCCATAAGGTTGCTCTGGTTATCACTAACTCAGAACTTCCAGGGGTTCAATATTAGATTTGTTCCAAGCTGCTTTGAAGACACCAGTACAACCAAACACAGTGACAGTTCAAACAGAGGAAAAGGAAATACGTGTTAGCCACTGTAGGAGTGTAGCCAAAGATACAAGGGGGATGAGGGTTCACACGGGGAAAATGAGTCTAAACAACCAAAGCTAAAAAGAATGGCCAAGAATTGTGAACAAAAGTACCTTTCTGGGATTCGTGGAGCTGCACTTTCTCCTGGTGATCCCAGCCGAGCGCACATTTGTCTTGCCTGTCTGTCTGCACACCAAACTTGCCTCCAAACCCATTCACATAATCTGCGTGCATGAAATTCCAGAAAACATTATGGTTTATGATTGTAAAGAGTATTTAGAAAGAAACAGCAACATGGCAGATTTGTTATTGGATATGCTGTCCTGTCATTAATAATAATATGCTCCAGTGTTTATGCCCCTGCTAAACTACCTCAACAAATGGAAGGATACCCATCCAGTAACTGCAGGATCACAGTGCAGGAAAATGCCTCCCAAATCCAACAAAGGTACAGCACAGAGTCAGTAATACTCAGATAGATGAAGAATCTGATGCATTTTCTATCTAAAGCCAAATCTTACAATATGTGCATATCTACTCACGCATACAATGCAGGTATATAAATACTAAAGGTATCAATACTGCCTCTGAAGACTGTAGACCTGTGCAGTTACACATTTATTTCAGTAATACCCATAAGGACCTAGTTCCTTTGGAAATCAAATGGAGAAAGCCAGGGACAGTTTACAATGTCTTGCTTTTCATTTAAGGGAATCAAAAATCTACTTACACAAAGGGCAAACACACATTTAACAAAACAAAGTATGTTTTTCCAGGTCTGAAAGGATGATTGATTTGAATCAGTATTCTTAAAAAAAAAAAAAAAGATAATAAAAACCTTTCTGTGATTCATGTTTTTCCGTTTTGCCTTGATAGTCAAAACCAACAGCACTTTTGTCCACTTTGTCCTTGTCAACACCATATTTCCCACCAAAACCTTTGGAATAATCTAGAGATAAGAGTAAAGATTTTTGCTTATAAATATTCAACAACAAAATATTATCCTGGAAAACCATGTTAACTGTATCCGCTAACATTAAATTACACATTAAAAGAAGCATCATCATCCTTTGTCAATCCTGGTTCCTAACACTGAAGTCATAACTTCTTTAGATTACGTTTTCTTAACATGGAAAGTAAAATGGCATCACACGTAGCTCAACGACTTGGTGGTATCGGCACAGCAATCCTGCAACTCGATTCCTTAATAAAATTCTTCAGACCCTAACAGCAAAGTGCACTTCAAAAACTGAGTCAGCAGCAGCCTGTAAGCTTTTTAAACAAAGAGTCCCCTCATCTCTAACATTTCAGGAGAGCAAATATTTTTGAGATAAACAGGAAACAGATGGCAAAACACATTTTCAATAAAGCACTCATTTTTTTTGATCAGATATGCCTAGAAACCTGATTAGCAGCACAGTAATAACTCTAAACACTACTCATTCTGATAAATTCTTTATTCTACTGACAGTTGAATCCTTTAGAAACAGTTCTTTGCTGTGGTCTCACTATTTCAAGCTACAGTTTTCCTCGCTGCTCCCCCCCCAAAAAAAATCATGGAAAACTCTGGACAAACCCACATGCCCTGCTCTCAAGGTAACAGCACCTCGATCATTACTTAGAATTGGTTAGAACCTCTATTTTAGGTTTCTTTTTCACAAGTGAAAGTTTGCAGTGACCTGTATTTTATTTAGTCTTGGTTTTCACCAGTTAGTGCTGGGTGACAGTCCTATATTTCACAGTGCTTCCTCCTAAACGGATAGGCTGCAATGCAGCCAAGAACAATTCCGCATCCCTCTGAACTGCCTTGAACCTCATTTCTACACAAAAGACTCTATCTCAATGACAGGCCATTTCCTTTTATTAAAACCTCATCGACTCATGCAATTGTCTTGAAATTCATTCTTCCATCTTCTTTCCCACCCACACACCTCAGCATTCGATTCACAGACAATGCTGGACTGGGGCCACTGCAAGGGGCTTGTGCTAGCCCTGCTACACAAGCACTGTAAGAACAGAAACCCATTCCGAGGCTCATAAAAACCACGCAGCTACCGATGTGATTACCTCACCTTTCTGAGAGGCATGCTTCTCAGTTTTCCCTTGATACTCAAACCCAACAGCTGACTGGAAGAGAAATAGCCATGTAAATATGACAGAGTTAGACATCAGCAGAAAAAGCTGCTAGCACTTTAGTGAACAAACAGTACGGCTGTCAGAGATCCTTCAGTACTGACCTTCTTGAGCTGGAGCACAAATGCCTGGCTAAGATCTACAGGTTATATTCGTTTGCATGATAATTTCAGTTTTTGTCACCTCTTGCCAAAGAAAATTACCCTAGCTACATCCTTGGCAGTCTTGCCAGGTTCAGCAACTGGGTACAACAGAAATTCAGCACTTCCATGCCATAGTTCGTGTTGCAACACAAGGCAAATCATCCCGCAAACCTTCTGCTGGTAGCGTTCATGCTGATTTTAATCTCAGTGAAGAATACTGCCTGGTTAGAGGACATATTTTAACATCTCTTTGGAAATCAGGATGCTTTTCCCTGGTTTCCCATGAGACTTTTTGCTTTAATTTAAAAGGAAATTACACTCCACAACAGTCAATGACAACTTACTGCTACATTTCAAAGATAGCACTAAGAACAAACAGCGATAGCATTTTTAGGTATTGGAAATCTTCAGCTGTATATACAAATTGGTAAACACAACTACTATAGGTAATGGTACAAGAAGAAACTTCTTACCTGGTCAACTCTGTCTGTCTGTACTCCAAACTTGCCTCCAAACCCTTTCACTGAATCCACCTGGGAGCAGTGTTTAGAAAGCTTGGATTGATACTCATGCCCAACAGCTGACTAAAAGAGATCAGATAGAACAAAAACAGGCATCAGTTCTGTAGCTTAGTTCTGTAGCGAAGAGAAAACACAGCACCAGGTAGGTTGCGGAGAAGCATCGTTACAGACATGTATCAATCCCGTTCTTTGTGAAGCTAAATATCATGTAAAGTGCTACTTGTTTGAGAAGCCTTTACAAGACTGTCACCATGTTACCAGCACAGCCTGAGCAAGGGGAGTGCCAAGAAAGCCTGACAACAATGATTATGTTTTAGAGGCTCTTTTACACTCTGGATTTATACATCATACAACACCGATGAAAAGAATAAAGATATAGATGGAATCTTGGTGTCATGCAAACAAAATTTAAAGTAAAGATTAGTTCCAGATAAAATATACACCCTGGTAATTTGGCCCTGGTACTTTGGCATCTAGTTACAGATCTGTTTTAGCTGCTACTAGATAGTGACCGAACAAAACTCCAACTAGATGTTCCCATTGACATTGTTGTTTTAGGGAGACGCCCTGATCCTCTTCGTAGATGGATATTTCATGTCTGCTCTCTGTGCTTTCTCCTTGCTCGCAGGATGGCACCACAAGGTGAAGCAGCCCATCCGTACCAAGAAAGGGCAGCCCCTGCCCTGCAAGCTCCTGTCTGAGCCTCTTGCTGCAACACGAGCCCAGACGCAGCAAGCTGGGGTGTCGTTAGGACACGTGTCATTGACAAGAGGATATGGAATTACACACCTGAAAGTACATCCTGCCGTACTCCCAGATAACATTTTCCAGTAACTTATTAATCTAGGGCTAACATTCCCTCCTAGAGATACTCTGCAGTTCTTAGAACTGGAATCAATGCTCAAGCCTTGAGGGTTGCTACGTAACACAGCAAAAAGAAGAGTTTTCTCATACAGAGCCAAAACTGAACACCAGCCAAAAAAACTTGCAATTTTCCACTTTAATCTATGATTTGAGGCTGGCTGTTGCCTAGTGCACAACATTCCCACCAGAGGCGGAAAGAGAAGAATCTACGATCCGCTGTACGTAACCGTGTCCAAGTTGAAAGGCTTATGTGGTTTTATGTGATCCTCCTTTTGTTTTATTGAACTGAGAGAGGTAAGGGTAAGCAAGTGCTTTCTTTGTGTGGTACTTGCTTGCTTTAGAGCAAGCACCAAACCAGGCCCATGCGATGCCATTGCACAAGCCAGAACTTCCCTCATCATTCACAGATTCCTAATTTGCTCTCTGAAATAGTAGTTCCTGACACTTCAAGTGCTTTAGTACAGCTCTTCATATAGGAAAGTCTTGATTTAAATATGGAATATGACCTGAGAATGAGCGCTACATTTTTGCTGTGCTGATGAGTCCTCACTGCTTGAGGAAATCTGGCAACTGGAACATTTTAGCAAGTTCTACCTATACCTACTTGCTGCTTCTCTTTTCTATTTTCAGGTGTTCAAATACCTGTAATAACTTCCCTAGAGAGAGAGTGAAACAATATAGAAAGGCAAACACTAACAACTGTGCCACGTGCTCTAGGTGTCCCTGCTTGAGCAGTGGGGTTGGACTAGATGATCTCCAGAGGGCCCTTCCAATCGCAACCATTCTGTGTGATTCTGATATTCCCACAGACGTGGATGACAGTGGTTACAAGTGGCCTTGCTGTATCACTACTTGGGTGATCATTCTCTGGGATGAGCCGTGGCTGCGTGAAGCTCACGTCCTGGCAAAGCTGGAATGACAACATTCTCCAGCTTCTGCAAGCGGAGACGCACGCGGGTGCTCCCCCTGAGCACAGGCAAGGCAAGGCTTGCACTGCCAGCCCAGGCAAACGGGCACACTCACCTTATCCATGCGATCTTGTTCCACGCCAAACTTCCCTCCATAGCCATGCGAGGCTTTTGGTCCTGTTTCAAGCTCCTTCTCTTTGAGGTTCTGGTGTTCTTGGTAGACGTTCTCCCTCAGCTGATGGATACTTTAAAGACAGGCAATTAAGTTGCTATATAACAAGTTTTACCAAGGAAGCTTCAGAAGATAACTTCAAAGGGATGCAAAATAGAAAGCAAGAAGATACTCTAGTAGTAGGACAAGTTGTGTTTTTCAAGTGCACAGAGCACTTCATCATATTCTGAGAATAAGAACTCATATCATTGTAAAACAATTTCTGAAAAAAAAAAATTGAAAGGGCTGTTTTTAAGCCTTTACCATAGAAGAATATTTTGCTATTTCAATGACCTTACAATTAACTACTTAAGCCTCAAAATATTCTCATGTCCCATTAGAATTTCAGTTTGTCTCAGTCCTTTCTATTTAGATTGCAACTTTTCAGAAGGGGGATCATCTCCTGTCGTACGGGAACTCTGTTTCTAGCTGCATATTTTGGATATAAAGATAACACAAAGCAGGGATGCAGAGAAGACCTTCACTCCTCTCATCAGATGTTCTCTTGCAATATGCAAGAACTGAGCTTATAGTAGCGCAGGCTACGTATGAGAGGACTAACCAAGGCGGTCCCCAGAACCTTCAACCCTTCCCAGCTGAGTTTAAAGTCTATCCAGCCAGTAGGTGTCACCACTGCATTCCAAATAAAAGAGTAAAATTGATCCCTGAAGCAAGCCACGCAGTTCAATCTCTCTCCCTTTGCAACACTGATGGTCTTTACTCTTAGCTATAGACCATGCGAGTAGACGCTCCAGAAATACATAACGAAGAACACAGCCACAGTCTTAAAATTATGAAAAATCTTGGACATTTTGCCTAAGAAGTACAAGATTCAGAAGCTGGATCATTTTTGTCTCACATACCCATTCATAATGCATTCATTTTGCTGCCTGCTCAATTTGTTACCTTGCCAGAATTTTTATGAGCTTGGTAGGCCATTTTCTAAGCAAAGTCTAATAACTAAAGGAGCAAATGTACCCTTAAAATACCAAATGGAGCTGCTCAGATCACTCAAAAGCTTTTCCCCAGGCAGCATTTGCTCTGGTACAGAAACAAAGCAAAGAAATTTTCCAGACACAAAGAGGCAGGAAAAATAATATTTCCTGTTAAAAAGAAAGATGTGAGAGTCCCTACACCCTGAATTTGATCTTCAATTCACATCTGAAGATACTAACATTTACAAAAGACTGGTAATGCTGCAAATAATCTTCTATGAAGTATCTTGTTTTAACCATGAAGATACAAATAACCAAGGTCACGAATGGATTAGAAGTTGCTTAGGATAGTAACTATTAATACATTTAAAAGAGAACTGTTTTACTTGATGTGCTCTTGATGGCCGGATCCATTCACAGTTTTAGCCCCCCAGCGCTGTTCTTTCTCACTCACATCATTCTGTGAAGGCAACACGTAAAAACAGAGTTAAAAGCCCAATAACATTAGTATTTACTTAGACTCTACAGTTTAGAGCAAAAGTCAACTTTTCCAATCTCACTAAGACCCCTGGCTATTATGAATTGCAGTTGTCTGTGAACCCTGTGCACTTTGCATTGCTGGACTGCACGTAACACATTTTGGGTCCCCCAAAGCTGCTGCTCCTTAAATTCCAGGCATGCAATGCAATTTTGGGCACAGACTACCCTGCCATACCCAGGACAAACAAGACAGGCTTGTTAAGCACGAAACCCCAATCTTCTCTCCTGCCAGGAATGTGCACACATCCGTTCATCTTGCCTAGAGGGAATCCCCGTCCTGAAGCGTCGCTCCTTAACGCGTTATGTAACACAGTTCTGCTGAGCGGATAAAATCTGAAAGCCGTACCACAAAATCGGGGTCTGTCTCCCAGTCATCAGCTCCATCATCCTGACTGACGGAAATGGTGTGACCTGCAGTAGCCTTCCACATCTGGAATTTCATCAGAAGAAGCACTGTCATGCTTAGGTGACAAGTAAATTTTACATTAGGCATTGATGGAGATACACTTCAAAACTCCCAATATGCTGCATTATACAACTGGACAAATACTAACGGTATTTGCTGTGAAAATATATTTGATCATGGCTGTCTTCTCAAAGTGGTTTGAAAACTCTCTGAACTCTCTTTAGTTTTCCTGATGATGCTGCAAAAAGGCTAGAAATAATCACTAACACAATTTCAAAGAGAACAAATCCATATTAATAATGCCTGTGCCTTTCCTTCATCCACTAGAAGCCTGCCTTACACCACTGCTTTGAATGAATACTGTCCGGACAGGTCTTACAATCAACCTTCACTTCTGCGAGCACCATAAATTCGAGATCCCAAGCACATATTGAAAGAATAGCCACATTTTTTTTCCCCAGTCATGAGCAACGATGAGCGCGACATTGTTCATTCAGCAGTACCATCTGCTGTGCAGTAAGTTGCAGCACTATGAAATCCACACAGCCATAAAATTTTCCCGTCGGATCCGGGCAGTAGCGCAGTTGCACAGAGCAGCAGGGCCTGTAAGTTGCTGCACTTGTCAGGGGGTCCCTCCTGAGCCCCTCTGCACGGCCGGGCAAGGCGGCAGGAGGCAAAGCTCACAAAGACAAGAGAGAACACCCAGATGAAAAACAGACAGTGAATTTAAGCGGCTTGTGGCATTCTATAACTACTACCCTATACAACGCAACAACAACAAATTCTTCCTAAAAACCAAAAACGCCAACAAAGGAGGTTTTTACCCCCCCAGTCTTTCCAGGTATGTAAGCTGGAGGAAAGATTCTCTTCATTCATTACTATACCAGTGGAACACAGCTCTTTGAGATTTCATCATTCTGTCCTGTTACAGATCTTCTTTTTCCTAATTAAAAATAGATTATAAGTATGAGCGCCACGGACCATCTCATTCACGCAGAAAACGGAACGAAAACTCCCCTTCAAAGACAAATGTAGAGAACACAGCTCTTCGAGATTTCATCGTTCTGTCCTGTTACAGATCTTCTTTTTTCTAATTAAAAATAGATTATGAGCGCCATGGACTATCTCATTCACACAGAAAACGGAAGGAAAACTCCCCTTCAAAGACAAATGTAGGCCAGAGATGTTCTCCAGGGATCACACAGCATTTATTAACGTTTGTGCAGAACCGGACAGGCAGTTGTACTGCTGTGCAATAGGAAAATCTGCATAAAATTACTTAAAGATTCGGAACGCCTGAGCCCACTGAACATATGGTAAATGGTAGTCTCTTTAGGACACAGACTGCCTTTGTAAATAATTTATGTATGAAAAATAGAATTAGCAATTTTAAAGCACAAGAACTGGATCGTGCGCATGCATACACACACAGTTGCTCAATCCTTCAAGCTGTGTGAAATACAACCTAGTTTCCTAGGTCTGCAGCCCAGCCCTCACTCAGCTTTGTGCTGGGGGGTTTAAACACACCATAGCTACAGGTCTTTAGGTCCGGATTTCTCTGCTTCCTCCTCGAACTCTTTAAAACAATAATCAAGGAAGGAGGACTCCCAGCCCTCTAAAATACAAAGCAAAATCCTTGTCAGGTGACCACGTTCCTTACTAGATTGCACACAAAACTACCGATACCTTTGCGTGTCTGCATTGTGAAACGGAGGAGAGCGCAGGACACTCCTCGGAGCAGCTCCCCGATTTCTGCAGATTCCCAGCCCTCTAAAACACAAAGCAAAATCCTTGTCAGGAGACCACGTTCCTTACTAGATTGCACAAAAAAACCACCGATACCTTTGCATGTCTCAAAGCTGCATTTTAAGAACTGAGTTATGAAACGGAGGAGAGCGCAGGATGCTCCTCGGAGCAGCTCCCCGATTTCTGCCCGGGTTTCCTCAGGATCCTGCCATCCCAGGAACATCCCCTCCCAAACAGGGCTGCGAGAAACATGATCTGTTTATGAGTCACTGACTCACATGGTCAAATTTCTGAAGGAAAAAAGCAAGCGCTGCCGCTCAAAGCCATCGGGGCTAAATATAAGCTCCAAACCGCCCTGGCTCCGCTCATCCCCCCGGCGCCGATAGCGAGTCCCGGCCGCCCTGCCAGGGCCTGTGGGGGGCACTTCGCGCACGGGGTGCACTTGGGGTTTCCTTTTTTTTGGTTTCTTCCCTCTGAACCTTCTAGTCATAAACAGTTTGGGGATATGATGTGATATAACGAAGCCGCGCAAGCCCCGCACCGCCTCCTGCCCGGGATGCGCCCGGCCCGGCCCCACTCGCTGCTGCGCGGAGCCCCGTGGCCCCCGCCCGTTCCCCGGCCCCAACAGAAGCCGCCGCGCGGGCCTCTTCCCGCACCGCGGGGCGCCTCCAGGTGGGAGGCGGCCGGGACGGGCCGGGACGTGACGCGGCCTCAGGCGCGCGGCGGGGCCGAAGGCCCCAGTGCCCTCCCTCCTGCCCCATTCCCAGCCTCCCACCTTGGGAAAGGTGTGTGTGTGTACATACAAACATGCATATATATCTATTATATATATATGTATATACTTCTATATGCATACATATATAAAAAGCCCCGTCCCTCCTAACAGCGGAGCTCACCCGCACAGGCCCTGTGGGCAACGCGGGCAAGAGGGCCACTGGGGCCGGGAGCACCGCTGCGGGGCCTGCAAATAAACTACGGGGGATGCGCACGGAAATAGGGAAAAAAACTGTACTTAACACTGAAATTTTAATTGGGAAATGTTTAAAAATATGTATCTAAAATCGGCTAACCAAGACTTACTGCTGAAATCATGCAGTAAAAGGCAGGGAGACCCTGGTTTCCCTGGGGGCAGCTCCTGGCCCTGGTGCTGTCCCATCCTGGAGTGCTCTGCACTCCTGCTGCCCCAGGAAAGGCAGTGGGAAAGGCAGCCCCTTCCTGCCTGCCGGAGAGGCACACGAGTGCTGGCTAAAATACACCGCCGGTGCTACGCTTTTGCCAAAACAACACCAAGCGTTAGCAGAAAAATTATTTGAATAACGTTGAAAATAGTGTAAGTTACGCAGTGAATCAAGGCTAATACTTTATCAAATTATCCTGAATTACTGAAACATAAATAAGAAATTACCACTTACACTGTTAACTGGAAATGAACTTGGCTTTCCCCAGTCTCAGCCTGCCTAGTTCCAACAAGGGCTCTGCCAGTTTTCCTGGGAAGGAAGGTGCATCTGACCCGCTGCCCATGTTCTCCCCTTGAGAGGTTGAGAACGATAGACAAGTGCTGTCCGTAAGACACTGTAAAAGCAGCTTCTTGTCTTTTCATTCTACACAATTCCCAAAGAAGAAACAAGAAGTTTTAACATCTATCAAGAGAGATTCCTCTGGCCTCTAAACATGCAAAAACTGGAAGTTTAAAGTTCTTTCAGATAAGCCTGTCATCTCCTTATGACTGTTAAAGAGGGCTCTCACTTTCTAAAGAAGTATTTTTCATTGCAATCTTTCCAACGCGAGTCCTTAGAGACTTAGGTCATTTTACAAAAAGCTGCATCTAATCCAGCTTTACCTAGAGCACCGTATTGTGCCCATCCTTTGAACATGTCTTTAGATGTTTTACTTTCCAGGGACCTTTCATTATAACAGACTAGAAGTGTTCATCTCGCTTACCCGGAACACCAGCTATGCTGTAGGACTCAGAATGAGGTCAGCACACAATTTTGCCAGTTCACATCAGCTTTTTTCCATTTCACACATTTATTCCAGCTCTCTTGCCCATTCCATTGTCCCGTAACAGTTCGGATTCTACAGCCTTACAAAAATCACGCACTTTCTTTGCACAAGCATTGTATTTACTTCTGAGACGCAACAATACATGACTTCGTACATCTACTGCATCAGTGAGCAGAAAAAGTATATCAATTATTTTTTAAACAGTGATGTGTAACTCAACAGTGAGTCAAGTTTCCTTCTGCACTTTTATTTTTTTCTAGAAACATTCTCTGAAATTATAAAAGAAACCACAAATTATTAGATAGCAGTTCATACAGACAAGCTAGACAGCAACAGAGATGTATTATAGAAGAGTGTTTAAAGCATCCATCGCGATAGGTCTCCATTCCGTACAGTCCACATCCTGCTGTTGATCTAGAGGACGTGATGAAATATGCTTCACTACTGCTTCTATTATTCTGTAAGTTTATCCATCAGTCTTCTCCTCTACACCAGAAATGGCTTAGAATGTTTTTAAACCGAAATAAACAGCCCTATTGTGACCCAATTTTGCATTTGTTCCCTAGAGTCCAAATGTTTCTCCCCACAAATATCACTATTGTCAGAGTCTCATCTCAAGAACAAAGCAAGGGCTGCTGCTACATAGAACAGCACTTCAATCTTCATCACGTGTGGACCAGAAAACACTGAAGTTGTGTGTTACAAGATGTAAATCACAGCTATCACTACCAGTAGAAGGAGGCAATAGAGCAGTTATTTTATGAAAACCTTTTCAAAATTGATGATATGCGTGAACTCAATACTCAAGAAAACGTTGTATCCAATGCAACATTCTTCTACCGAAGAAGAGAAAAACCATCATTTGAAACAAGATCTACAGGGCAGTAATCAATCCTTAAGATGCTTTATGGACAGTCTCCAGTCACCACAAAAATACCTGCCTGTATACAGTTAGATCTCAGCTTTTCAATAGTGTTTTATTGGCAGTGGAAAATGCATCAGTACTTTATTGAAAGAAAGCAATAAATAATACTGTGATAAAAATAGTTCAAAAGTACTTAGACTGTACATATTGTTACATAATCTGAAAATACACAAAAGATTAATAGAAAAACAGAACAGTAACAATGAATTTCAGTTTTACAAGCAAGTTAAAAGTGAAAAACAAAATAAGAAAAGACATGCTATATATATTGTTGCATAATAAATAATGCACCATGAACTGAACAGATTTCTTGCTGGCTTTTTAATATGCCATTTACAAGTTTTGAATACATTTTATTCTACTCATACAGTCCAAAATGGCTACAACCATCAAAACCAAAGTCCAGACAACTCTTTAGAACAAGCTTACAAAACACAAAAAGATGACTTACGTAAGAAAAGTAAGGCCTTTATTAGAAGTTGCACTGCTCTGTTTTCAGCACATTGTACCTTCATGTTTCACTATACAACTCACAGGATACTGCAGCGCTTCACAATTGGTCCGTTAAAACTAGTTTTACCCTTTCCATAAGGGTTTTCAATCAAAAAGGTCTAGGACAAAAACTCTCTCTGTGGCCTGTGGATTAGTCTGCTAGGAATTATTATGAAGTCTGTCTTCCTCATTAAGGAAAAACATCTCTGAGTTTATGGCTTGTTTTCAGTCACTGTGAAGATATGTTATACAAATACAGCTAAGACAGAGTTATGACCGAGTCAACCGTTTCTAAAAGGTTTCAGTTTTTCCCAGCTTTTAAAGCAAGCTACATCATAAATAAAGACAAATTCCCACTACTTGACAAGTCGTCTTTGTGGAAAGGTACAGTTCGGGAAAGAGCAACAGTCTTGTACCGCACCTTTTATAACCACACAGGCTTATCTGAAAATAAGATGGACTTATTTTTTGATCTAGCCAACATTTCCAAAACACAAAATAGATACTGCTCGGTGTCATGATACTTTTACAAAGGTACGAAAAACCTTTTCACCTCTGTTTCATTATTAAAAAACAATGATAATTACAGTAACTGCATAATTTACAAAAACCCTATATTACTTATAGGGACGTATACATACAAGCATTACAGTACATTCAGTTGGAAAGACTAAAATTAGAATAAAAATCAGCAATGATTTGATTTGTAGACCGAATACGAACAGAAAAAGTAAGTAACTATATAAATGAGAAGTCACATAAATATAAGAAACATTTAGATTCTAAAATATTTTCTCTATAGTACTCATGAATTTATTTGCTAATTAAAAACTCTGTAATAAAATATCTCAAAGTGTCCATACATTTAACAAGTATTAACAGATTAAAAGTTCCAAATGTTCCAAAATGCTGCATATCACCGGTAGAAATAGTGTGGGTAAACTGCAGAAAAACAAAAAGACAAAAACCCCATCCATTAACAGGTGATTTTTTTTTTAAGCTCTTCCTAAAAAGTTTCTCACAAACAGCTCAATATGGTAGCAGCCATGCATGAAATTATTGCCATGCCCAATGTACACAATTTTACTGCCTTCTAGAATTTTCTGTTGCAATGCTAAGTCAAGCATTTCCCACTTTATAGAGCCTGACTTTTATCCTAGGAGATCTGACTGTATTAAAAAAAAAAAAAAAAAAAGTGAGGAGAAAAAAAGACAACTTAAAAACTTCACTGCCTTAAGACTTAAGGAAAGAAAAAAAAAACATAAGCAGAAGAGATGGGCAATTTAAAGCCAATGGAATAACCTCTTATAAAGAGGAAAACATCAATTTCATGGTAAGCACGCAGTGTTTGCTCTGGACTTTTATAACCAGAATAGTCAAAAGTTTTAACTTCCAGGCACATGTTTGCAAATTAAGAGAGAAAGGCTGCTCCATGAGAAAACACAGCAAAGACTGCTATGAAAAATCAGTCCAAGTCCTGGAGTTAAGATAACCACTATACGTACCTTTAACACAAAAGGCATTTACTCCAGCTAAACGCATCTATTTTATCAAGCTGCCTTTTGGTGTTAGCACGGCTCAACAACGGCTACCCAAATTTAGACAGCTGGTAGCTAAATCCAACCAGACAGCATAAGAAATCACGGTAGTGCCAAGAAATCACAGAAGTGACCAAGAACTGGAAAACTATGCAATTACCACCAACAACTGAAGACTGGAAGTCCACTGGAGTGGGATAACTTCCACCAAGAATCTGAAAGACCAGTACTCTGAACTGCAATGCCATATACCAGGTTATCTTCTCTCTTCCAAATTCCTAATGTGATTCCCTTCCCTCCTTTCCCCTTCCTCCAGCTATTCAATTTTCAAATTTTGATTTCAACTATTTCTGCACAGCTACTTAGGCCTGGCCCTTCTTCATGCTGCTTAAAAAAAAAAAAAAAGAGCACTAGATATTTCAATAGACTTTGCTATGGGAAATAAGCTCTAGATTTTGAATGTAACAAATTTACTTTTATAAGTAAATCCACTGAATTAAAAAAAAAAAACCCTTCAAGTTCTGTTTCATAAATAGCTGCTTTACTGTGATACCTGTCAACTCTACTTACCAGGAGAAGGCTTTAACAGGAGTATGTCCTTACTGTAGCAGAGTCCAATCTTTGTGTTCCTGATACACTGCCTATTTCAAGAAGCACGGGGAGACATGCAGAACACAGCATGCATGTTAGTTTTCAAAAACATCACAGCAATGTAGCTACATCTATTGTATTCAGTCAACTCTGCAAGTTCCAGGCTCAGTGGGTAGCAAAAAGAATGCTTAAAATACACATATGTCAATGGCAAAGAATTTCTATAAATAGATATTTTTCTATTTTTTGTCATTTTCCCTTATGATAATTAGCATAGTTGAAGACAACATTTTTCTATAAAGACTATTTAATTTATCTTTGTAATTCATCAGATTAAGAATTCTGGAAAAGGGAGTTTATTCAAATCATCCCTTGAATGGCTTTTATTGCGTTTCAGAAGTGGGACTTAATTTGGACTAATTGCTACTAATTAGTCTTTTTAAGCTAAAAGTGCTATTAAAAAACTGAAATGTATTTTTATTTACACACTTTAATACAAAAGTATTTCTACATATAATTCTCATTTTCCTATTCAAATGAAGTAAAAAGCCTCAGTACAACTTTTGAAATGTAATCACTCTATGGTTAAAGTGTTATATGCACAACCATGCACAAGGCAGATGCTTTAATGCAGCAAGAAAGGTAATTTGAACTTAATTCCCTTGTAATCTCAAGCAAAAAAGTGCACCATGCTTAAAATAATACAAAAGCAATACCATCAATTTGCATCTTCTTTGGCTGCATCGAGGGTGAAGACATTGAGGTTGTAACTCTGAAATTTGCAGGAAGAGTCTCTGCTGAGCCAGCAGCTAACCCTCTTATGTCCTTTGGTCTAAACTTCTTCCTCCACGAAGGTGCTCGCCTAAAGCTCTTATCGTCATCCTGTTATGTTGATAAACATCATTAGCAATTCCAAAATGCAGTGCTATTACTGACATTAAAAAGATCACTGACAGTTCTAACCAAGCCTAACACCACCATAAGACTCAATTTTTCCAGAACAGCTCAGCTGCATTAGCACTCATTCGCTGCAGCGGAGCCTCTTCAGCTCAGTAACTATGGAAATCCATGTGCTTGGCACGGCTAGAAAAGAGGTATCACATTACCACCTACTCTGACTGAAATCAGTGTATATTTGTGCTTGATTTACAGTAACTAATAACTATTTTATCACTCTCTTATCCTTAGGCAATTGAAGGAATGGAGTAGATGATAAAAGCTGTTCAAAATAAGCATCCAAACATTAGTGTTCCCAAAGCAATTGCTTCTAAGCCAAAATTGTCCTACACAAATGAATACAGTGTTCTCCCATGATACAAGTTACAGAAAATGACAGTAAGAGAAAAAGGAAAAAAAAAAAAAAGCTTTATGCTATGTACTGTTTTGTTTAAGCACTCTGGAAGACAACTGTATGTACTCAGGTACATTTTCCCCATAATACATTTGCATCTTTACAGTGATATTCCACTTTAAAACAGTTTCATCCCTACTTCCAAAAATAGTGTGGCACAAAAGTATTTTATGTCAACGCACGAATATGTGTTGCGCATCTACGTTTACCATCTCTGCCTTTAGAACCAGTTCAATCATTTCAGTGTCATTTTAGCTATAAGTGTCTGCATTACTTGGAAAGATCTCCATCATCAACTGTCCTGCGCAGCTCAGGAGAGCTAGAACAGAGCAGAAGTACAACTGCCTAAAAGCCTTCTCTTGCAATGGGAAGGCCATAAGGAAAAATACTTTAAAAAACACTATCAGGCTACTTCCTGGTGATATGAAAACCGAGTATAGATGCAGTCTGAGAACGGAACTGGCTGGATCTGCTGCAGAAGGCATCGGGCCCATCGGGCCTATCGGGCGGGAGGTGGGTGTAAAGCAAAGCAGGGCCTGCCCAGCCTCCTCGCCCACTGCATCTCACTGACCCAAGGGCAGCCCCAGCCAGCGCGCTCATCCCACCCCAGGCCTCCTCCGTATATCTGCACAAGAAATTGAAACATTTCTTCCAATAACTGGATCATGAACTTAAAGCAATAACAAAAGCACACCGCACCAGGAAATTAGGCAACTGCACTGACAAGTTATCTTGGGCTACAAGCAATGCTGTAAGCAAGAACATCTGAAATCCGCCTGTGAAGTCTTTCCTGTGATTTCATGGATTTCTCTGCTTAAACTATTCAAATTGTCTTATCACTGAAGACATTGCTCTTAAGAGCATTCAAACAACATTACTCAACAATAATTTGAAAGATCTAAAAGGATGATTTCTCCTACATCTTTTCATAAAAACACTTTATGCATTCCATATTTTGACAGTATGTTTTCCCCCACGCCCCCAGCACTGCTTTCATCTGTGCGAACACTTCTTTAACCAGCTCTAGCAGGTCCCCCTGCTTCACAGCACATCACTATCTCTAGAAATGTGACTGCAGGAGGCATCACGCCTGAATCCACGTCCTCCCAAATCATTAGGGCCAACAGAATCAACAGTTAAGCATGCTTAGTGCACTTATTTTCCCATGATTCATCATTTTTAATCTTTCATTTAACAACACGTGTATCTGCATTTTTCTGGCAGCTGCAAATGTTTCTTTTTTACTGAGAATAGATACAGAGCATCTCCTATGTCCATATTCAATATTATCTTGCCAAAAAAACAGGGAATCTGCCATACTCAATAACCCTCAAAGGCAAAGAATTTCAGTTAAGATTTCTGACAATAATAGTCTAGAGAGTGTCAGGCCAAATTCTTCCAACTAAGAGTTCTTATGGTGTTCCCAAGACTATAAAGTAAGTCAACAGCTTGAATAACTTACTTCATCAAGTTTTCTGTCAGTGCCCATAACAAGAAGGTTATTAAATTCTTTCTCCAGAAGAGCACGAGCCTAAAGTTTATGATAGGAAAGCAACAGAAATTAATTCCAAATGTTCAGTGAACCTATTGCAGTTTAATATATTACAACATCTTAAATTATTAAAAAAGTAAGGGGGGAGGGTGCTTAGCAGCCTTACATCTGCCACAAAACCTGGTAATCTTTGGCTCAAATAATATTTCAGAATAAAAGCTAACAAATACCAAAAAAAGACAATCACTTTTATACTAATCTTGTGAAGAAAGACTATAGGGAGATTTGTTCAAAGAGATTTAACAGTAAGAACTGTTTATAGCAAATAAAAAACAGCAAAAGTGCACTTCTCTATTTTCCCCTTATAGGAAAAATATTCAGAACAACTTTCCATTTCTATCGTTTCTACAGTTGGGAATAAAAAGACATGTGCTTACCTACGAAAAACTAAAAATAGTCATTCAATTTGTAAACCCTCATAGAGAAAAAAAAAATTATCAACCATAAACCAACTACAATTCTTGCTTACCTGTGTGTTCTGAGTAGGTATTTGTAATAAGAGAGCTAATGCATTGTAATCAAATGTTTCATCTAAGGCCACAAGTGCACCATGAACTCCACTCTCTATAAGGTTATTCGCGTATTCTTTAAGACCAATGGACCCTACCCAACGGATCATTCTGTCATTGCTCCAGACAAGGACATCTATGAAGAAAGCAAAAAAATACATATATATTCAGTTTGAAAAAGTTGCCTGATTTATACAGTATCACATTTCTAAACAACCAACCACAACTCTTATTTGACCAGTTTACTGGTGTAGGGATCAGTTTCCATGTGTACAGAGTTCACTGCAATTGCTGTCAAGGAATTTTGTTACCTGACATTTAGGGAGTTATGCAAGCTACCTCTATGCTTTTGGTGAGCCTAAGCAGCCCTGAATTGTAGAAGCTCATGCTTGGGACTGGAAGCACACAGCACTGGATCCCTTCCACACAGCAGTTTTACCAACGAGCAGGTTCACTCTCACTTCATCTGCCAACAGAGGGGCTCACGGTTGCATTCACGGCTTTGACACGAGTTGAGCTGTCCACAGAATTCACAGAGCTGGGGAGGAGAGGGTCTTCCACTTTACACAGCCACTTAAGAGCTTGCTAGTGCATTTATGAGGGACCAGATAATTTAGGAAAAAAAACAAAGACTCGAAAAATCCCAATGACAATTTCTCATGTGTCTCCTCCTGATTGCAAACCAAAGCCTTTAAAAGTTACTAGGGTTCTACAATCTTTTATACCTTTAAATTTTGACAGCGTTCAGTGTAGTAGTACAGACTTATCTTTGGCGTGTGTATTCAGATTGCTGTAGCTTTCTGTCATCGGGAATTTAAAGTAGGAAATAAATGTATTTGAAATATGCTGGAGGGCATTTCGTACCATAAAAGTTTAAAGAGCAACAAACTCTCACCTTGTAATTTTGTCAAGAAAAGCTTTATGAAGTGGCATGTACGTGTTCAGACCAGATGTCAGACAAAAATTATGCTCTCCCTAGTAGTGTTTTTTTTTTTTTTTTTTTTTTTACTACTCAGGAATGTCTGTAACATTGAACTGTTAAAATGATCCCTAGCACGCTTCTGTTCTTCGTCAACTAGCATTCTTTCCAAATAATTCCCAGGAAGAATTCAGGAGTTAAACATTCCAAGGAGCGCTGCCTGGAGGCAACAGATACAGTCATACCATTCAGGAGGCTAAAAAAAGCTTAACAGCCTTGACACAGGTTCTGCTCATGCCAGTCAGTTGTGATGCCTTGAAATCTTCCTGGGCATATTAATTCATGAAAACAATAGCAAAAAAGTATCACCACAAAAAGAGAAGACACAGGATCTCTTAAGCAAGTTATGTGGACAAGGTAACCCTAAACGTCAAGTCTAAGATGGCAAAGAAGAGTTCTGCTATGAGGAAGGGAACAAGACATTTTCAAGGAGAAGTTGAAACTGGTATAAATTCCCTTATTGCCTTTTCTTCAGTGCCTTCATGGTGGTTACTGAACAAGAGAGAATCTAGAAAATATGAACACTTTGGTCACCTGGATACTTTGCACAAGATGTGGGGTAATTAAAATTTCCGGTCATAAGCAAAAGTAGAATTATTTAGATACAAAGTGAGTATTTTAAAACAGGAAAAGCTTTTTTTTTTAAAAAAAAAAAAAAAAAAAAAAAAAAAAAAACTTCACCCTCAAAATGTTTAGTTCAGAGAAACTTTTGCACACCTCTGCAAGAGGTGAAGGATTCTGTGGTGTACTTCATAATTCACTATTCAAGGCCTGCATGTAAATGCATCTCCAACATTTAACATTTTTTCACAAATAACTCCTCCAACTTTATAATATATTTGAGGCTTATCAGTGAAATCAGGTTAGATTTAGACTGATGTCAAGACAGAGCATTAACCTTTAATCTCCTTCTGGCTTTCTTCTCTTTTTCTCTCAAGTTCCTTTCGATCATAGTTCAGTCTTCGCAGGCACATAATTCCACACTGAAAACTGTTTCTGTTTAGAAAAGAAAAAAATATATAGAGAGATATATAGAGAGATATATATAGAGAGACACACACACAAATATAGACGACAACTGAAACATCTGCAAGTCTGCTCTCCAAGCTTAAATTTAGTTACCTGTGAAAGCTGTCCACCATTTTAAGCTGTCCACGGAGATCTTTCTTGGTGAGATGATCCAGCATTCTAGCATCAACAAGACACTCCATGAAGTAGCTGCGGTACTGAGGGAGTCCCAGACTTGGGAGCCATTCGTTGCCAATCCACTCATGGTTCATATCACCATAGGCTAATGTCTGTTGGTTTTGTTTTTATTTTTTTAAAAAAATAAAGGAATAAGCTTATTAAAATAATAATATAAAGAGAAAACTAATACACAGAGAAAAGCTTTTTAAAGAAAAATCTAAAACAATGCTTATTTAATGTTTAGGTCTGTAAAAATAAGCAACTTAAAATATTGGGTACTACAAATGTTTTGAATCCAGATAGCAAACTGAAGGAGCATTACTCTTCTAATAAGGTGTCAAGCTTTGATTTTTATAACTGACAAATGAGCACCTGAGTAGTTTATGGGACAAAAAAAACCCAGATTTAAGCTGGAGGACAGCCAAGAGAATTTTTTATTTCAAGATATGGGGCACAGACAAGTCCTCAGTTTTGTTTATACAAATAGGATTCATCATCACTTTAAGGGAAAACAATGAGCCAAGGATGATTAGAGAGTTATTAATATACAGAAATCTCATTAACTACCTACGGTCAGTCTGTATTGTAGCACTTATGAGGGTGGACAAGATGGACAGGGACTTTCTACATAGAGCAGGTATCTTCACTGTATCTTTGGCTGCTCAGAGTTCCTCCCACCTCTAACGTTCCAAGCTTTATGTCTTAAAATTATTTTAACATTTATTTGATCTACCCTGTTCATACACAGAATGTTACAATGCTCATTAAGAAAGAATAACTTCATTCTGGTGATTCCTTAGCTAGTGAGAAAGTATTTCAGAAAGCTAACAAGAAAGACACTTGCTAGCAAGAACACTCTTCCTCTAATTGTCCTACTATTAAAAAGTAGGCAAAACTTTACTTTGGGATATACATGGAACAAAGTTAGTATTTTTTTT